GTCAATAGTAAACGGTAAGGGATTTTCATAAAGCCAAAAATTGGCATGTAGAAAAACAATTAAAGTTAACGAAGTTACATAAGGTAAGGTAAGTGAAGACAAAGCATGGATTAGATACAATGAATGATGATGCACTTCACAAAACCTAGCCAATTTGATACTTGCATGATACATAAGTTACTTAACAAGCTTGACGCAAAGGATAGAATTTAAACTTTCAACATTTCTGATTAGCTGGGGTCACCCTATATCGAAAGTCAATTATAGATGAGCATACAAGATCCAAGGTAAAAGCCAAAAAGCCGACCAATCGAGTTCAGCCGCATAGTTACAGAAAAAATCAGTAGTAATATAGACAGCTTTACAAAACTTAAATAGAAAGTCAGAATCACCAATATATGGAATTTGAGAGTTTATACATGAGTTTTCCACGGCATCAGGTCAATTAACATGTAATTGATTCTGCTGATGAAAGTGTAAAAGAAGAATTTCAAGGAATTCAATTAATAAGTTAATTTACAGAACTGCAAACCATTTAATATTTCGGTTCTCGAAGCCATTTGAAGATCAATTTAACAATGTGAAAGAGATATATTATTGTCCCTAATTTTCATAGCAAAGCATCTTGAAGAATATAATATTACCGAGACATGCCAAACCCGCAGCCGACGAAGCTAAACCAGCAGCAGTAGGGAAATTGTTAAAAGAAACAATATGAAGATGCAACTTCTCCCAGTCCTTTTTGGCTATCTTAACACCCTTCTCCTCATCTTCAACATCGCTAGCACGCGACCGAAGTTCCCTCAGGCAATTCTGGAATCTGCCTCCGGAAAGAGACACCTCCTACATTAACAAAGAATTGATTGATCATCAAGTAAGTAATTTATTATCCATTACTCATAATAACTTTATGCCTTAGAATTTTAAAGATCAGGAAGAAATAAAATTTTATGTATTCGAATTAATAAATGAAGCAAAGACAACACTCAGTCCATCCCAGGAGAATAAACCATAAACAACAAATGATTCAACTATACATACAAACTCAACATTACTGATAAACTTAGTCTAACGACTAAATTTATTCAAAGAAGAATAGATATTATAAATGACCCCCATATTCGCGATCAACAAAACTTTTCATGGAAAAGATTAATAGATCTTGCTTTATTAAAAAAGCATTCTTCATTTAAAGGGAATTTTTTTTATCCATCTAAAAAAAGAGCTACCGGTATAAGCGTGTGTGTCATGTTACTCTTGCTCAAATATTGTTAATTATCGAGCTTAGATGCCTTCGGCCAAATTATTCGGTTTCAACTTAAATCACATTCATCAGTCGCGGAGCACCACAGTTGAAGGAGTGGCTCATTCAAACTAGTCCAAAGACAAAAAGCACCAATTTTTTTTTTATCTTATTCAAATCTTTTAACATTCAGCTCAACCATTTACACCTCAAATCAAATCAAAACCCAAATGTAGGAGGAGAAAATCAGACGAATATGACTTCAACTACAAAATATCAAGACTTGATCAAAGTCTCATGAAAACAAAAAAGTTCCCAAACTTAAAAACTTTTAAACAAATCACCAAAAAAAAATTGGCTGATAATGCTCAAATATTAACATCTAACGCCTACCATACCATCATCAACAGAAGTAAGAATACCCAAATCAACTAAGCAATAAAGAGCCATGATTGAATTAATTATACCCTGCCGTTGAGCCACATGCGATCATGGGTGAAAGACGGACTGACGGCAACGGAGGTGGTGGTGCAGAGGTGGTCCGGGTCGAGAGTTACGCTAATACTGTCGTTGATCGGAAGGATGAGGTCTTCGTCCCTCTTCCCCCAGTACTTTATCACTGCTATGTTCGTCGGAGTCTGTGCTGTGAGCGCCAGAACCCATTTCTCGCTGCTCTCCGCAGCCATTTATCCAAGTGTATCTGCAATGCGAGAGATATCGAGTTATGAATTATGTTGCAGATCTTTGGTTGAAATAACCCTCCCAAAAAAGCTAAATTGTTCATATGACCTCTCACACTCACAAAATCAGATATAAATTAATTGAAAACTGCATAAAAGAGGAAAAAGATCAATATATCGGATTTGGATTCCTGATGAAAAAGATCAATACTTTCATCACATTCAACAACCAAAGGCTAAGGCTAACCATTTACTCCACACAAATATTACTATAAGAAAGCACAAATTAGGACCCAACACAGCTCGGCAGGTTCATATTCATTACATTTTTTTTTTTGAGCTCTGTCAATGGCGGACGAATAGGAATTTAACGGGGGAAAATTAAACACAATAATATAATATATGTTAGCTTATGGAGTCATTGCTATTGATGTCAAATTAACTTTATAAAATAATAAACATAAATTGTTTGTATGTCAGTTTTTTACAATGTGTATTTTGTCATAAGTATATACCACATAAATGATAAATATATATATAATTTTATTTTTAAAAATAAAAGGTACAAAAAAAGATTCATGGTCGGATAAAACTCGAACCGGTTAATATCCGGGTCGATTGTATCAAAGGAGGGTTGACCGAGTACATTGTTACTCGATCCGAACAGTCCACCCGAATCAGTCCCAGTCTCGACTCGACCCACCGGCCGGTCCGAGTTTCAAAGCAATTGGTTTTTTTTTTTTTTTAATTAGATGTACCAAACTTCACAGTCCAAATTTTATCCACTGATTTTGTTTGATATACTCACTAGTACAACACCCGTGTATTACACGGGTGCTTGCTAATTTTTTTTTTCTTAAAATCTATAATTAATGAGAAAAAGTAGTTTGAAAATTTAAATACCTTTTATAAGAATATATATATTATTATATATTTATTATTACACTTTTTATTTGTGCAACTTACTTGTGTTATATTATACTATTTTTTTTTAAATTACAATATATAACTACATTACATATAAATATCAATTGAGAAATAATTTTATTTTCCTAATAAATTTTAATAAATATTATTATTTTTTATTATTATAAAGATAAATATTTATTTATTTCATATATACAATATGGATGTCAAATCGAAGATCATCAAAAAATGATTAATTTGATATATTATATATGTAAAACCGATAAGAAATACAAAAGTTATCAACGTTTAAAATACATTTATAATTCAATAGCTTATTGAAGGAAACAAATCAAAATTCAGGGATATATTAGTCACTTAGTGCCTCACTATGTAAAATTACAAAGAATTTCTTGGTGTCAAAATAGGATATATGGTAGGGGTCATATTAGTAAAAATAATATTAAAATACCTAAGTTAGCTAAATAATATTTATGGAATACCCGAACCTAGATTATTAATTATTAATATTCCAATATTATTTATCCAAACCTAATTACAAAGCATGATTCTTCGCCAAATAGGATTACAAAGCACACCAGAAACAGTCACGTAGGCTCAGCGCATTCGGGAATTATATATAGGAAGGATATTTTGGTTTTTTAAGTAAAACGGCTCAAATATGTGCAATTCAAAGGGGTTGAGCCCAAATCATTTTTTTTTTTTTTACAAAAAAAATGTGTAATTATTGTAGAATTTTTTAGGTTCTTTACATACTTATCAAAGACTATTGGAACAAGAATGCATTTTTAAAGTTCCTTTTAAGTAAAAATTAGAGAGCAATTTACCAATAAAAAAAATAAAAAAAACATGTGGACAAAAAAAAGAAAAGAAAAAAAGGGAGTGAACAAAAATGAAAAGGACGTATTTAAGGAATACGTTTTTGTGATGGATTCTATAGGTGGCGATGGCGGATCTAAAGGAGTTGGCCGGGAAGTGTCGGGGAATGTCGAAATGGGTTGAAATTTAGGGTTGCCGATTTGGTTTCTTTTAATTTCCCTATTTTCCATTTTATTTTGGTCTTGTTATTTGGGCTGGTTATTATGTTGTTGGGCTGCAAGACAATTTGTGTTGGACTGAGGCATAAGTTAGCTATTTGTTGGGTTTAAGCCTTTTTATCCATTAGCACATGTATTTAAGTATGGATGATGAAGAATGGAATATCATGATGTCATTTTCCTAACAACTTTCTCTCTCCTACTCTCTCTCTCTCTCTTACTTCTTCCTCACGTTCTTCATCTTCTTCCCCACAAATTCCATATAATTTGCAGAAATTAATATTAAACAGATAATAAAAATACAAAAATACTACTACCCACTACAATTGGTATCTCAGAGCTGCTGATCCTTGGAAATGGCGGAGAGTACTCGCTTGAAGGACCTGCAAGAAAACCAGAAAAGACTGGATCAGTTCGTAATCACAGAATCCATGAAAAGGGAAGCTGGTGAGCAGAAAATGCAAGAACAAATGGCTGGTCTAAGTTCTGATCTGCAGGATAAAATCACCAACATCAGCTCTGCACTACAACAGCAGCTGGGAAATTTGGATATCAAATATGACCATGTGGCCACTGTGTTGTCTACTATGCAGACACAATTGCTGAAGCTAAGCAACGAAAAAGAGCCCAGGATGGAGGAATCCATATTGGGTACCCCTCCATCTCAACAATACACAAAAGGCAGCACTCCTCCTAAACCATCACAACAACAATTTACTAACACACAGATGCAGCTGGAAAATTCAACTTCACAGTCTCATTTCATCAACCCCATTCCTAAGGTTGATTTTCCCAGGTTTGATGGTACTAATCCTAGAGGCTGGATACTTAAGTGTCATGGGTACTTCCAGATTATCCCTAATATTCCTGATGCACAAAAGAATTGTTTTAGCTTCTATGCATTTTGAGGGGAAAGCTGCACAGTGGTACCAAAATTTCTGTGCTAAATATAAAAACTGCTCCTGGTCACAATTTTTGGAAGTGATTTCTTCCAGATTTGAGGAAATCAGAGAATCCAGGATAATAAGGGAATTTAACAAACTCAAAAACACAGGATCCTATGAAGACTATGTTGAAAAGTTTGAAGAACTCAGGTCCTGTATGTTACTTTTCAACAATGGAGAGTTTACTGAAGATTATTTCATTGCCAGTTTTCTAAGTGGGCTGAGTGAAGAAGCACAGGCTCTTATTAATATGTTTGATCCCAGAACCTTGCAACAGACTATTAAACTGGGAAGGAAGCAACAGTGCACAGAGGATGCTATTGTGAAAAGGGCAAAAGTGCCTAACAGGTTCAATAACCAATACTCAAATTTCAGGAAAAATGAACCATCACCTGTTAAGACTCCCTACCCAAATAACCAATTTAAACCACCTGTCAAGATGCTAACTGCTCATGAGATTGCTGCAAGGAGGGAAAAAGGGTTGTGTTATAATTGTGATGAGCCTTATGTGGTGGGGCACAGGTGTAAAAATAGAATCACCTATATGATCATGACAGAGGAAGAAGAACTTTCATGTTTGGAAAATGAGGACTACACTGAGGAGGAAAGAAAAGAAAGTGACATTGAAGAAATTCAGATGTCTCTAAATGCTTTAAATGGTGGAGAAGCGCTAACTACTATGAGGCTCACTGGGGACTGCAATGGGCATAAATTGCATATTCTTATTGATTCTGGGAGCACCCTGAGTTTCATTCAGGAGGCTACTGCACACAAGTTGGGCTACAATCTGCAAACAGTCAAGCCCATCATGGTGAAGGTGGCAAATGGCCACAAAATGCTCAGCTCTAAGTGTGTGGAGGGTTTCAAATGGGGCATGCAGGGTCATAACTTCCAATATTCTATGAGGCTCTTGCAAACTGAAGGTTGTGATCTGATACTTGGAGGGGATTGGTTAAAGACTTGCACACCCATAGGATTGGACTATGATAGAATGACAGTGACAGTAACTGTTTTGGGCAAAAAGATCAAGCTACAAGCTAATACCTCAAAGTGGGATTGCAATTTCATTTCTGGAGAAGCATTGTACAAAATGGTGCACCAAGATTGCAATGAAATTGAGGAAATATTTCTTTTGTCTCTGGAGGAAGACAAGGGGTCAGTAAATCCTAAACTGCAGGATCTCTTATCACATTTTCAGGACATTTTTCAGGAACCCACAGGTTTACCTCCTGAAAGGGAGATTGTGCACCAGATTATCCTCAAGGCAGAAAGTGTACCTAAACATCAAGCTCCTTACAGAACTTCACATGCCCAAAAGGATGAAGTGGAAAAGCAGGTCCAAGAGATGCTAAGTGCTGGGATAATTCAACATTCTCAAAGCCCATTTGCTTCTCTTGTGATACTGGTGAAGAAAAAAGACAACACATGGAGAATGTGTGTTGATTACAGATACCTAAATACCCTTACTATTAAGCATGACTACCCAATTCCCCTAATTGATGAACTGTTGGATGAAATGCATGGTTCCAGGTACTTTTCTAAAATTGATTTAAGATCTGGATACTTTCAAATTCTGATGAAACCAGAGCACATGGAACTCACAGCATTTACTACACACAATGGGCATTATGAATTTTTGGTTATGCCTTTTGGCTTGTGCAATGCACCTGCCACCTTTTAATCACTCATGAACCAGATTTTCAGGCCCTACCTAAGAAGGTTTTTCTAGTATTCTTTGATGACATCTTGGTTTACAGCCCTACTTGGCAAGAGCATCTTGAACACTTAGAGATTGTGCTCACTGTTTTGAGAAAGAATACCCTATTTGCCAAACTCTCTAAGTGTCAATTTGGGCAGACTGAGGTAGAATACTTGAGACATATCATTTCACACCAAGGT